CTGGCTTTGCAGCCTGCATTGCACACCTTGAGTGGGCCCAGGACAGTTGGTGATTGCGGATCCACATCTTAACTAGGTGCTGAGTACCAATTAGCAGGCTTTCCCTGGCCCCTCCCACCCCCTCAGTCTCTGCTGAGCCTGCTTTGTGGTCAACCTCCTCTTCTATGCTGGTCACCTCCGCATCTACGCATCTACTGATGTGGTTGCTTTGGATATAATAGAATCAAGGACATTAGCCATCTCTTCCCTCAGCTTCCTCTCAATGGGCTAATAAAAGATGCCTCAGGGGGAGGTAACTTCCTGCTTAAGTGTTTAATCTGTATCCTTCAAATGGGAATTATCTCCTCAAGGTCATTGCTCCATAATCCTTCTCAGTCTTTTTTTTTTTTTTTTCCTGTCTGTTGTGGGGCTTGAACTCTGGGCCTCGGCACTGACCCCGAGGTCTTAGCTCAAGGCGAATGCTTGAGCCACAGTGCCACTTCTGGTTTTCTGATGGTTAATTGGAGATAAGAGTCTTGTGGACTTTCCTGCCTGGGCTGGCTTTGAACCACGATCTTCAGATCTCAGCCTCCTGAGTAGCTAAGATCCTTCTCAGTCTTGTTTTGCTGCTTTTCTGTGTCACAGTGCTCAACACTCCTTTGAGTATGTTGTTCAACAGTTCATGTGTTGGGAGATGAGCCCTCCCCCTGTGTGGCAGTGTTGGGAGGTGAGGCCTAATGAGAAGCAGGGATCATGGAGCAGAGCCCTCAAGAGTGGCTCAGAGCCTTGCTTGTGGAGTGAACTCGTGTCCTTGTGAATCTGGATTAGCCATGCCTAGCATGCAGGGTATTGATGATTGGTTATGGTTAGGAAATGTTATCCAGCTAGGCTATCCCAAATGTTTGTTCTCGTTGGCATGTGTCCACTTGCCCTTGTCTACCATGAATTGAAGCATTAGAAGGCCCTGGTATTGTCAACCTCAAGGACCCTGATGCAAAATAAACTTCTTTCCACATAAATTACCTAGTCTCAGGTCTGCTATTAAGTAAAGAAGACAGTGTAAGAGAAACATTGTAGTCCTGTCCTCTGAAAACAACAAACTCCATTGGAAATGTTTTTCCTTTACCCAGAGCATCAGCTGTTCTACCCTCTTTGCTGGCACACACAGCTGTGGAGGGAGCCAGTTGTGCACACGCTCTCCATTCCTCCTCTCAGCAAGTCTGCTTTCCATTTCACTGAAAAATTGTTGCACTGAAACCCATTAACCAGCACCTGTTTTTTTTCTTCTACTTTATTCTATTTTAGTCCTCAATTTTATTTTGTTTTATTTTTAAGATTTTAAAAGAATGTTAAAGCGGGGGGGGGGGGGGGGGGGGGGGGCAGTGGCTCCCGCCTATAATCCTAGCTACTCAGGAGGCTGAGATCTGAGGATTGCAGTTTGAAGCCAGCCCAGGCAGAAAAGTCCCTGTGAGACTCTTATCTCCAGTTAACCACTCAAAAACTATTGTAGCTCAAAGTGCTAGAGCACTAGCCTTGAGCAAAAAGTGTCCAGGGACAGTGCTGAGTTCAAGCCCCATGACCAACAATAAACAAACAAAACAATTTTTATTTCCAGAAACTACAGAGAAATAGGGAATAAAATCCAACAAGGAAGAAGCTAAAATATATTCCAAGCTGCTTCCCATGTTTTTAAGGAAAGCCCCTGTGGCTTGATTTGTCCAAATTCATTTCAAGTCTCTAGACCTTTGAGGGGGTTTTGCTGCTGCTGCTTCCTCCTCCTCCTCCTCTTCCTCCTCCTCCTCCTCCTCTTCTTCTTCAGAATGCTCACCGGAATTCTTCCTCTCCACACAGTTTTAATTACACAATACCATATTACTTGATGTCCAGAATGTATTCTTCTTGTACAACTGAAACTTTATTATACTTTGTGAGCAACAACAGTTCTCTCACTCCCCACCAAACCCTGGCAAACACTGGTTTCTGAATCTGACCACGAGGGTCTCTCATTAGCCATGATTTTGGCTGGCTATGGTTTTAACTACCCACGTCAAATATTTTTTGAATATATGAAATGGAAAATTCTGGAAACAAAAAATTTGTACAAGTTAAATTGCACACGTTCCTGAGGTGTATCAGAACCTGGACCCTTCCTGCTCTTTTCTGTTCCATCCAGAGTGCTACTGGGCATCAGTGCTCATGTTCTTGTAACCCTCAGTTTACCTTTGATGGCCCCTAGAGCAGGAAGAGTGGGGCTGGGATGTGTCAATGAGAAACTGGAAAGTACTTCTTCTAAGGGAAAAGATGAAAGATCAGCAAGATGTTGAGAAAGAGAACATTTTCTCACAGTATAGTGTTATGATTGGTTTATTTTATTACTAGCTATTTTTGTTTATCTCTTACTATGTCCAACTTGAAAATCAAACTTTCTCATCAGTGTAGATGTAGGAGGAAACAGCACACAGAGGCATGGTACTGTCTGGTTTTAGGCATCCACTGGTGGTCTGGATTGAGGTTAAATCCTACTTTAGATGGTATATCTGTGTATACTATTTATATACGCATAATCGACTCATGCCATCTTCTTATATAAAGTGATGCATTGTTGAATAGTTTGACTGGTCTTGAGGATAACCTGCTATACACCAGACTATATGGCCCAATCTGTTGCTCTTAGGCTGCTAACATGTACAGCATGTTACTGTGCTGGGCACTGTAGGCCATTGTTACAGAGTGGTGTTTGTGTTGCTAAACACAGGAAAGGTGTAGTAAAAACACATGACTGTCGGAAGACTTCAGCTTTGTTACAATCTTCTAGAACTACTGATACAGTCTGTTCCTGATTAAATCAATATTATTTGGGATGTGATTTATTATATATACATGATTAATTCTTGGAAGGGAAATCAGAACAGAATATGCTATCTCAGATTCTAGAGGTTACCTGATAACATAATGAATGCAACCTTTTTATTTTTGTCGGTCATGGGGGCTGAACTCTGGGCCTGGGTGCTGTCCCTCAGCTCTTCAGCTCAAGGCTAGTGCTCTACCATTTGAGTCACAAGCGCCACTTCCGGCTTTTGGGCCTCATGCATGCAAGGCAAGCACTCTACCACTGAGCCACCTTCCCAGCCCTGAGTGCAACCTTTTACAGACTACAGAAACTAGTTTTCTTTTGATGACTAGTGTGCTGCTGTGGTCATTTCAGACCAGGTGTTTATTTCTAATGTAGTCATGGCAATATTGATCCTCTTCTTCTGGGGGGAGGAAGAGGGAGAGAAGGAAAGAAAAGAACCCTTTCTTGAGGAAGCTCATGGCTAACCATCTCTGCCTTTCTAATTCCTGGGTTTCTTAAGCAGTGTTTGTGAAGTTTCCTAAGATAGAAAACTTCATTCAGCCAGGGGCTGGTGTGTCATATCTGTAATCCTAGCTACTCAGGAGCCTGAGATCTGAGGATTGTGGTTCAGATCCATCTCAGGCAGACAAATCTAGGAGACTCTTATCTCTAATTAACTACCAAAAAGCTGGAACTAAAGACATGGCTTAAGTGGTAGAGTGTCAGCCTTGAGCAGAAAAAGCTAAGCACACATACACACACACACATACACACATACACACACGTGTGCAAGCATTCTTCATCCCATAATCCAAGTATTTTGAATGCTGAGACTTTATTCCAGCCAAGTGCCACATTTTTCTCCATCCTCCCTTCATATGCCATGATGTGATGCTTTGCAGGTTCTCTGTTGAGTGTGTTCTTTGCCTCATTTGGCCACATCTTACAGTTGTGTGCTCCTGGCTCTCAGTTGTACTTTCAGGAGGCCATGCGGCACCCCCTCAGATACCTTTTGGTAGAAGTGCACGTGATGCCAATCATGTGTCTAAAAGCAAACTTCTTCCTTTCTCTAAACCCCATGCCCTCTCCACAGCTTCTCTGTTCCTGATGGCATAGGGCAGGTTCCCAGTGCTGATTGACCCAACACGTCCTTATCACCAGAAGAGACCTTCATCTGATCACGTGCTGACTTGCTTAATGCCTGCTTCTGGTGCAGCCCTGCAAGCTCCAAGTGGTAGATGTGGATTATGCTGTTTGTCACTCTATATTCCCAGCTCCCAGCAAGAGACTTTGCACATAAAAGGCTTGTAGAAAGTGCCTATTTTGATCTCGAAATCAGTAAACAAATGCACAGACTCCATGTTTATATTTGTACTTGGGGACAAAACTCAGACTACTTCTGATACTTCCTTTTTTTCCTACTGTAGTATGTTAGTTTATGTTCCTTCCAGAACATAAATTCTTCTAGAACAGGCACTTGCATTCCAAGCACCTGCACTGGAGCCCCACAGGGCAGTGACAGAGGTTGGCAGTGTTGCAGAAATGCTCTAAGGGTCACATGTAGTAGTTTGTTGGATCTTCATAGGTAGATGGGAGGTACATCCCTTTCCAATGAAACCTGGCCATTGAGATGTTAAGTCATTGTTTCTTGTCATTGTTCTGCTACCTGGTGGCACTGGACAGCTAACCCAGTTCTTCTGAGTCCAGTGTTCTCACCATTAAGTACTATGCTGTCCTAACATCTAATTTATATGCACATATTCTGTGCTGCACTGTTCACTAAAGCCTGTACCCTTCTTCCATACACCATGTATGGCACTCACAGATGATGGAGAAGCTGACATATTGTTGTTGTTGTTGTCGCTGCTGCTAAGTCTCAGCATGGTGGAGCACACCTATAATCCCAGCACTAAAGAAGCTGAGGCAGGAGGGTCATGAGTTCAAGGAAAATCTAGCTACTCAGTGAGTTCTATGCCAGCCTGAGGTATGTAGTGAGTTTAGCCCAAAGCTGTGGTCTTACTTTTGCCGCCAGAACCTGCAGTGTGGATGTGGCCTGAGGAGTCAATGCAAACAGTTCCCTAGGATTATTAGGGGTTTTCATTTTCATTTTTCTTCTTCATTTTCTTTTCTTTTTTTTTTTTAACCTCTCCCAGCCATCTAACCTAGCCATTCACTTTCCTTTCTGTAGACACTGCTGGCAGCCGCACATTGCACTCGAGAGCAGAGACTACCCCATCACCCACCAACAACACGGGCAACGGACACCCAGAATACATTGCGTACGCGCTTGTCCCTGTGTTCTTCATCATGGGTCTCCTTGGTGTCTTCATCTGCCACCTGCTGAAGAAGAAAGGGTATCGCTGCACGACAGAGGCTGAGCAAGAGGTGGAAGAGGAAAAGGTTGAAAAGATAGGTAAAGAACCTGGGTTCATCTGTCCTTCTTTCCCTCCCTCCCTCCCTCCTTCCTTCCTTCCTTCCTTCCTTCCTTCCTTCCTTCCTTCCTTCCTCTTGGGGTTTGAACTCAGGGCCCGGTGCTGTCTCTGATCTCTTTTTGCTCAAGGCTAATGCTCTACCACTTTGACCCACAGCACCACTTCCTGGTTTTGTGGAGGCTAATTGGCTAGGATTATAGGCGAGAGCCACCAGTGCCAGCTACTTGGTTTTTTGTTTTTTTCTTTCCCCCTTTGATTGGGTATGGGGCTTGAATTCAGGCCTTGGACACGGGCCCTGAGTTTTTTCTGCTCAGGGCTAGTACTCTACCACTTAGAGCCACTGTGCCACTTCTGGTTTTCTGGGTTCTTTTTATGGGGGAAAAGGACAGAGTTTGTAAATAAGTAACTGCTTCTTGCTCTGTGAGGTACAAATGATCTCAAGACCTAGCATAGAGTAGTCTCTCCTGGAGCTTGAATACTTACAGGGCATTTTTCTGCTGTGGCCTGATGGTCTTCGGCCAGTTCTGTGTGTTCCCAAGTCAGTGCTATGCATAATTTAGCTTAAATTTCTTTCTAACTAATTTAACTGAGGACAGTAATCTCCACCTTGCAGGTAAAATGGAATGTTTTGGTGATGGGCACCTCTGGCTTCCAACAAACTTTAATCTTTACTTAGTATTCTTGAGTCAGATCCTAATGAAAAGGCAGGAACATGAAATGCAGCTTGCCATTTTCATGGTGTTCCTCTCACACTGGGGGTTCTGGCTCCCCTCCTCCCGTGAAGGTTGTGATTATCCAGTACTGATTGGGTGCCCGTGCTGTAGAAGTATAGCAGGAAGGGGAGCTGAACTTCAGTCTCATCTCTGCATCTGCATGGAGTTGCTAGGTAGTGTTGGGATATACCTGAAAGATGAATCCTGTTTCTTCTTTCCACTCATCCTTTAGGGCGCTGTCCTTAGGTGGATTCTGAGGGTTGGCAGGCTGTTATCCACATCCCGCGCGGCCCCTCCACGTCAGTCTTTTGCTAAGGTGACATTTGGAGTAGGTCACCCCCTGGGGGAGCAAACCTGCATGGCCAGTGTGGGGAGGTTCTTTGATTCTTGCCAGCTTGCTGGAGTGTTGGTTTTTCCACCCCCACTGACCTTTGAGGCTGTGGAGGAACACGGTTGTACGATGAGTCATGTATAAGCTTATCAAAGCCAAGCCGAGTGTGTCAACTGAAAGTGGAGCATCTCCCTCTGCTCCTCCTTCACGGCTGTAGGATGGCTCAGCCCTCAGCCTCCACCCTGTCCGTGTGAGCAAGCATGCTTGTGCAGGAGGCACGCCAGCCTTGGGGTGCAGAGGACACTTTGCCAGGTAAATGGAAGGGCCGTTCATTGCACTGCTGGTTCGGTGGCTCTCTGAACTAGGACAGGCTATTTCAGCCCTCTCTCTTCGTTCCAGTCCTAGAAGGCCTGACTTTTCTTTTTTTGGGTCCCATCATGGGGCTGAACTCTGGGCCTGGGCGTTGTCCCTCAGCTCTTCAGTTCAAGGCTAGTGCTCTACCACTTGAGCCACAGTGCCACTTCCAGTTTTTTTCTTTTTGCTTATGTGGTGCTGAGGAATCGAACCCAGGGCCTCAGGCATGCAAGGCAAGCGCTCTACCACTGAGCCACCTTCCCAGCCTAGGCCTGATTTTTCTTAGAGACCTATACATATATTTCTGGTGCAGAATCTCTGGGGGAAAATAAGCATAGCCAACATTTCGGAAATTTGGAAGCATATTGAAAAAGGATAAGAGAGTTTTGTAAGCATAGATGAATAACTATTACATTTAAAATATTAATACTCTCAGGGATGTAGCAGAGTGATGAACTGCTTGCTTATTAAGTGCAGGACACTGGGCTTGATCCTTTGTACTGCACAAGAAAATTGCTTTACATTTATATAGTAATCTGACGCTAAAACAACAAAATCCCATTTCTTCTGAGGGCTTTCTTTCTTTTTTTTTTTTTGGTGCTTGTACTGTGGTTTGAACTTAGCTCTCATGTTCTTTGGTTTTCTTGTTCACAGCTAATGCTGTGTACCAAAGTGGTAGTCCACTTTGGGCCTCTTAGTTAGAGATGGAGTCTCTTGGACTTTTCTGCCAGCTTGGCTTCAAACCTCCATCCTCCAGATCTCAGCCTCTTGAGTAGCTAGGATTACAGGTGCAAGCCACTGGTGCCCAGCTCCCCTGAGGACTTAAGGAAAGAATATGAGACATGTTAATACATGCAGTTCTGGTATAGATGCATTTCCATAGTGTCATTGTGGCAGTGCATGGATATTTGACCTTGAGAAGACATTGTTGGACAAGTGATTTTTTTTTAAATGCTTGTTATTCTAGCAAAGTTATAACCTTTGACATTGGGAAATTTGGGGCTGAAAGCTAAAAGTCTTAGCATGAGTGCTTGAGCTTTCTGGAAGCTGTTCAGTGAGCTTGTGGACTCTAAGACTGAATGTCCAGTTGCCTTTTAGCTTGTGACCAGTTCTAACATATTCTCCCCTCTTTGTCTTTCAGAATTAAATGACAGTATAAATGAAAACAGTGACACTGTTGGGCAGATTGTCCACTACATCATGAAAAATGAAGGTATGAATACTTGAGCATTCCAGGACAATTCCGTATTCTCCTTTTGTTATAATTAAGTAATTGTATTCATTTAAATTTTTGTGCTGGTCCTGGGGCTTGAACATAGGGCTTGGGTACTATCCGTTAGGTTTTTTTTACTCAAAGTTGATGCTCTACCACTTGAGGCCACACATCCATTTCTGGATTTTTGGCTCATTGGAGATAAGAATCTCACAGACTTTTCTGCCTGGGTTGGTATTGAACCTCAATCCTCAGATCTAAGCCTCCTGAATAGCTAGGATTACAGGTGTGAGCTACTAGTACCCACCTTCTTCTTTTATTAAAAACCTGTTCAGGAGAGTCAAGATTTGTAGGCTCTGATTTTGCTTTAGTTCTCTAGTTCCCTGGCTTCCAGCATTCTCCAGCCTTGAGGATATCTTTTCAGTGAATTTCTGGGTGCCAGTTGGTTCCTGTTGCAGAGAGCTGGCTGTGGAGTTTCATTTCACATCCGGGCCTTACCACTTCCTGAGTGTGTGTAATTTGGAGAAAGTTCTCTTACCACATGAAGCCTCAGTTTCCTTCTGTGGAATGAGTTTTTATGGTATTTACCTCATTACGTCACACACAGAACAGCACGTGTCAAAAGCTCAAGCACTCAAATAGTGTCTATTCCTTTTTTTTTTTTTGGCGCACTTAATATATTTGTGACAAAATAGTAACATATAATAAGCTATTACAACCACTTTCTTTTTTTCTTTTTGGGTCCGGTCGTGGGGCCTGAACTCTGGGCCTGGGTGCTGTCTCTCAGCTCTTCAGCTCAAGGCTAGTGCTCTACCACTTGAGCCACAGCACCACTTCCGGCTTTTTTCTTTTTGCTTATGTGGTGCTGAGGAATGGAACTCAGGGCCTCGAGCATACAAGGCAAGCCCTCTACCACTGAGCCACCTTCCCAGCCCCTACAACCATTTTCAATAGAGAATTCAGTGGCATTTCTATTTATTTTGTTACATAGTATCACTACTGTGTAGCTCCAGAACTTTCTCATTAGCTCAAAGTGAAACTGTACTCACCATTCTCTATCACGGTGATCCCTGCACTTGTTTTAGTCTTGATGCTTAGGACTTTTCAAAGTCTGGATTTTGGGTATCTGCATATTAAACCTTCATCTTCTTAAGTAGAGGATTTATTCAGTTGCTGTAACTGAGTCCCGTAGACTGTATAATTAATAAAGTGCAGGGATGTTGGCTCTGAAGATGGGGAAGTGTAAGAGCATGGTTAAGCATCTGCTTAGCATCTGGTGAAGCTACCTTGCTGGGTTATACCACGGTATAGGGCATCACATGATGAGACAGAACAGTCAGGTCCACCAAGCCACACCCTCAGTAACTCACACATCCACTCACCTGTGAGTGGATTAATCCATTCATTAGGGCAGAGCCCTGTGAACCAAACCACCTCTTGTGAAGCTCCAGCTACAAATACCATTAAATATAAGACTTTTGTGATTAAATTTCTAATGCATGAACTCTGGGGGCCGTACCCAGACTGGAGCAATTTTCGTGTCCTTGGTCATTTTGTATTTGTATGTTGGCACCTAGCCTGCATTCTCAAGAATTGTGGATTCCCATAGTTAGAGTTCTTTGAGATCTCAAGAGAATTTGAAAGGAAAGACTTTCCCCTGGGCTGTCTCTGTGGCAGTGAACACTGCTGACTCACCCTGCATACACTAAGACAGCTGGGCTTTGGTCTAAAATTGAAATGCCTGGTATTTATCAGTAAATATCTGCTCTCCACCCTCAGCTCTTCCCTGTGGACACCTTCCTCCCTCTTCCTTCCTCCTTTGTCCTAACTAGCCAGCCAGGGTACCTCCCTGGCCCAGGAGGTTTGTCAGTGTGTTCGGCTCTGTCCGGGTTAGCATGGTTTTCATTGGTGTTCTTCTTAGTGTGCTTTGTGTGGTTGGCACAGATCTAGGTGCTTTGTGTGTCTGATCTCACCTAATCCCCACCACATCCCTGTACAATGGGAATTCTGATGATACCCATTTTATAGGTAAAGAAAAGAGTTCAGGATTAAATTCACATAGCCAGTGAGCAAGCAACTCTGTCTACTTCCTCCTACTGTATGAGGAAGTGTCGCCTCTCCTCGTTTAATTTGCAGTTTTATATTTCTATAGTTTGTAAAAGTCAGATGACCAACCTTTAACTAGAATGATATTTAAAATAAGAACATTAACAACATGGTAACTCTTTTATGCAACTACTTGAAGATAATGAAAATATAAATTTTAAAAGTCCATCATCAATAACAGCAACAAAAAAAATCAGACAGAACACTTGGACTTGGATCTGGAGACCTCGATTAGTGGACGGGATCTGCTCTCTAGCACACTGTCAGGTCTGCTCCTTTTATGTGTAGGGGAAAGAAAGTGCCTTTACCTCAGCCTCAGGAATACAGGAGGGCAGCAGTGCTTTCTGAGAACTTGAGCGTCAACCATGACAAAGTAGGGCACAGAATGGCGTGTGACCTCCTCTCCCGGTTTCAGTGCCTTGCGCACTGCTTCCCGGGGCAGGGACAGCTTGGGGGAGTTGGGCAGCTGCTGAGCCAGTGGTGTTTTATGAGGCTAGTGACTGTTGGTTAGATCTTCAAAATAAATACCTTGAGAACTTTGACAGGGACTGAAATTCTTGGGCATAGACTTCATGGTGCTCAGGAAGGTTGGTGTTTGTGCCAGGCCTACTCTAGGCTTTCCAGGGACTAACACCACCATGATTTAGCTACTCATGCCATTTTATAGTTGAGCATCTTGAAGCCTGTGTTGGCTTAACCAACTTACCAACTCTCTACTGGTGCAGTGGGGTTTGATAGCAAGCATTTTGACTTTGAAGTTGATACAGCAGTCCTCCTTATTGGAAGTAGGTGGTGGGCGGGGAGGGACTTGAAGTGAAGGCTTGAAACCATGAAGAATGCCAGACCCTATTAGTCTGTGTTTTTTCCTGTATATACCAATGAGAAAGTTGTACTGTATATAAACTAGACTCAGAGATTAGCAGTGCCAATAAAAATAAGAAATTAAGTTGGAAAATCTAGCTAATTTAAAAAAATTTTATTTTCTTTTTATTGTGAAAATACCATACAGAGGGGTTACAATTACATGGGCAAGATAATGAGTACATTTCTTATCAAGCATTGTTGTCTCCTCCTTTGTTTCCCCTTCCTATCCCTTCTAGCTAAATTTTTGAGTGCGAAGGCATGTTAAAATTATTATTCTAAAGGTTTCTTTTTTCAAATTAGCGAAAAGAATATAGTTTAGAATGATGGCACCTAGTGGAAATTGCTTCCTCTGAAGGTACCATTCTTATTAGCTAAGAATTTGGTATTTAAAAGTTCCTCTTGAGGGAATGATGTGTAATATAATTCGAAATAAAGATACAGCAGTCTTAAGAACATTACACCTGATGGCTTTGTGACTGGGGCGAATTTGTTAAATGAATAACTACGATAAAGCTTAAAAGCACAGGTGGGAATTTTTTTAAAAAAAACTAGATTTCTATGTACTGATCTGCTTTTACTTTGTAATTTGTAGTCCTAAAAGACTTAAAAAATAAAATTCATCCTTACACTTAAAAAAAACCTAGAAAATTATAGCATTATCCTATAGTAAAGTTATTTAAAACTTAGGAATTAATTAATTTCTAGAATTTTTACTTAATATTGGTTGTGTGTAACCAAAGCCACGGAGGGCAGAAGCATGGGTAGGGAAGGGGCACGATTGAATCCTTCACCTGGCTGATTCCTGGTGACATGAGTGTGTATGGTAAATTTACTCTCTTCAAAGGAGTAAAGTAGGTACTGGAGAAGCTTCTAGAACTTCTGAAACATTCATGCATTTGAATTCTCAACACCCCTCATGTGAGGAGGCCCTATCGTCACACTAGGAGGGCAGTGACCACGGGCCCTCCCTGTAGTTACAGCGTTTGGTGTTTCTGGAAGGAGCTGGGGGCAAATAGAGCTATTCTTTCCTTTGAAAGAATGTTCTTTTTTTTTTTTAATTGAAAAAAAAAGTAGCCTTTTAGTTTCCCTTGGGTTGACTGCCTTCCAGTAGGTACCATGGATGGTCCCCGTGATTCCCTTTTCAGTCCTCTCTGCTCCCTCCTTGCTCCTTCCCCCCTATCTTATTCATCACCCCATTTTCCTTTACTCCTGCTCATGCCTTCATCTGTCCGCCTGTGGTTTCTTCAGGGCTCTGAGAGCGCAGGTGATGGCTCTGCCTCTGTGCTGTCCTCTTAGATGACCAAAGATACCTGATCTCACTGCTGCATGTCCTTCCTTCCTGGCTGTGGTCCTGCCTTGTTTTCTGCTTGTCCCTGGACCACAGCTGGCTGAGAAGATAATATACTGGAATGTCTTACCAATTTATAACTTAGACTTTCCCCAGTCTTGCTCTGAGCCTGAAATTCTCTATTGTATGGCACAAGCACATTTTCATCCTTTGTCATCATTCACATAACTTCCTGATTATTTGCAATGAAATTTCTATTTATAGAAATCTATAAGCACACTATAACTTTTCTCCAAAAAAATAAACAAGGATAAAATTAAGCACAATCTCTCCATACCACTTTTTTTGTTTTCTTTGCTTAGATTCACGTATTTATAAATATTTGCAACCATGATTCTTGAAGGTTTTTTTTGGCCTTGCCTTTTAAATTTGACATTTTAAATTTAATCTGTAGTCATTTCTTGTTTATAGTATCAACAAATAGCTTTAATTTTGGAAATCAATTTTAGCCTAGTCCCTAGAGGTGGACTTTCTCAGCTGACCCGCAGGGTGGCAAACTTAGTCTCTTTGCAGCCTCACGTAGGGTAGACAGAGTTTTTTCCAAATTAAGCAATTCTCTAACTGTGAGCACTGTTTGGGTCTTGTATAACTTAAGTCATTTCTGATTCTGCCTGGGAATGAGTTCCAGATTCCAGGGTTGCAGGATGACATCCCACAAGACTGTCCCTTCTTCAGATGAAAA